ACACGCACTTCTGGCGTCGTGGCCGGCGTGGTAAGCATGGTGCCACACCCACCACATGGAATGCGATTTCCTGATGTATCGATTGGGAAAACTTCGTTTGAGTGGGATGGTGAGGATTTCGAGTCCAATGTACTTCTTCGAGATATTGCATGCATCTGATAATGTAACGACTTTGAGAAGGGGCAGGTATCGAAGAAGGTTTATGTGACGGTGTTGGGCGCAGATAGAAAGATCTATTTGAAGGAGTCGTGACTCTATTATAAGTACGGTTGTGGTCCGGCCCGCCGGCTACTGCTATGCAATTTCAATGGGCTTCAATGCCAGAAAAAAAAGGTATCATTGGTTCAAAGTCACTGTATAATCTATCCCGATCGTACGCGTGCCTCGGCTCGAAATAAACCTGAAAGAATCTAGTCATCACCAAGGAACCGAGACTCTTGCTCAGAATAAAACGCAGCGCTCTGTTGGGTCAGCCAAGGATCCGCCTCTACTACTATAGAAACCTTCTGCCTCATATCTTCGTAATGAACCAAAAATTTCTTGACCGATTCTGCGTCCAGGTACAACGTCCGGATGGGTGCTCCAGCGTCCTGGCGGTCCAAAATAAATTGATGAAGCACGTCGAAGTCGTCGTCAAGGGCCCGAAGTGCAACGCCATCCAGCTGAGGCCACCGAGGTACTACGGAATTGGTCAGGCATTGTAACATAAGCGACCAGTCAAAACTAGGAAGAACGAGCGTATTGATTCCAGGAAAACAAAATTCCGCTCGATCAAACACTGATTCAATCATCTCTGTGAAGGTCGAGCGAAGCGTTAGCGTGAGTGATTTCAGCTTTGGAAAGCGGGGAGATCTCTTGTGCATGATGTCTTCTTCCAGCAGGACGAGATCACCCCTGGTGTATGGCGCAATGGAGATTTCTTCCAGATCCGGAGCTGAGATGGAGAGCAGAAGCTCTGAGATTGGAATCATCGTTCCGTAGATGTGAATGCGGCGTAGGAAAGGCATATCGTACACGTGCGATGGCGCGAGGTTGAAGACGAGAGCATCATAGACGACCAGTGTGATCAGCGATGCGGAACACGATTGTATTATCGTGCAAAAAGCCGCGTAAGACAGCGGGAACCCCACCGGTGCCAGATGAAGCTCAGTGACGTTGGTAAGCGGAACGCGGAAGTAGTGCAACCCCATACCCCGCAAACGCACGTCGGTGAGCATCGGAGTGTCTCTCAATGCCAACACATCATGATCAGCCTCGGCCATTTCTCTCCCCTCTACTAAGAAGCGTCGAAGGTGGGGGTACGTGCTGTGCTGCATTGACTCCAACACCACTAATATAGCGGAGGTGGTTTGGGTAACCCCAGACACCTCAATGGTACGGCACCGACGGTAGTGAAGTTGGATGATATGGGCGAGTGAATGTGCGGAGTCAGTGGAGGGATATTCATCAGGACTACTGAAGTCGTAGAAAAGGCGTAGATCAATCAAAGATTCCTTGGATTTATCGATGTAAGTTTGTATGGCGGACAAGTTCCAAGGAGGTGAAATATCCACGTTTGACCACAAGGCAGGCGTTGCCAGCACGGTTTGCCGCCAATACTGCGATACTTGCGCGGGTATG